TCATGCACCAAAAGCAAGGAGGCTCAAGAGCTTTCATCTTTTAGGATGCCTTCATACTACGCCGCAGGACGCAGCAACTTGCCGCAGCACGCGGCAGCACGCGCAGCACGCCGCAGTCAGTGAAAATATGCGCATTAACATCCGGAGGAGGGGACAACTTAAAAGAAAGCTTCATGTGCTGAATCTCCAGATATCTGGACATCATTTGTCTACCTAATCGTAATTACTCCCACCATCCTTCACTATAAACATATTAAACAAAAGCGAGAAGCTGTACAAGTTGCATTTTTAAGCTTTTCGTATGATCCCCCGATGATCTTTAGCTGCCGACCATCTTTTCTTTGAAGTCATTTTTCTTTTCTCGAAGTCAAAAAAACATTTCAAAACCGTGCTGTTTATCTAACTCAACGGTGCTAATCATGTTCGTGGTAAAAACGAGTGATGTTTGGAAGTCATGTACCCTATTTTCAGGTGTATAAGCCGCGGGCTGGTCCTAGCTTACATCTACCAGCCCGAACACATCAAATAACCTCGCAATCAAATGACCCTATACCGTGCTGCGTATTGCCTAATATAATCGTGCGGCTTAAGAATTGCTTCTCGAAACACAATGGAGCGGCTGAGCAGCCCGGGCGAAAATTCGAAAAAGTGCGGCTTATACACCTGAAAATAGGGTAATTTAATTTGCGATGAACTACAAGCCGAAATTTGGGGTTTATCGAAAAAATCGATACTTCAAAAACTCATTTGTTCTTATCAGCAACATGTTTAACACTGTTGGGTGATAATCAGTACAACACTGGAAGGCTCCTGGAAGGCTTTCACTGACTTCAAAGGAAGAAAAATGACGTTGAAGAAAAGTTGTTCGACCACGCCGGATCATCAGGAGAGCATACAAAAAGTTGGAAAATGCGGCTTGCACAGTTTCTGCTCCCGTTGAATATGATAGTGAAGGATGGTGGGAATACCTTGCGGATAGGTTGACAGCGGGAAATTCAGATAAGTGGAGCTCCAGAATATGAAGCTTTGTTCAGCTGCGATCCCTCAGGGCGGAGATGTTGATGCATGCGGCCCTAAGAAATCTTTTGCAGCTCCAGCCTATTGAGGACTATAAACTTGAGGATTTAAAGCAGTATTCTCTAAAAGCTTAACAAAATTTTTTCGAATAGCCAAAGCTCCACGACTCTTCATACATTCTTTCAGGCACCAATCATAGTTTTGCAACTCCTATCACGTTACAGCTAAGCAATCTAACTTGTTAATTTCACACAATTCAGGGGATATGGTTAACATTCAGTTGGGTGGAATAGGCTTGTATGTACTAGAATAGACGTTTTCTGTCAGTGCTCTTGCTGTGATTCACATTTTCTGCTTCATGAATGAGGCTCTACTTCCACTTTAGACAGAATTTCTAACGACACTGACAACTAATGAAAGGATGGACCTACCTATAAAGGGCAAATCGGCAACGCGTCCGCTATCTAGAACCACAGGTGAATATGGACACTTGTTCTTTTTCAACTCATTTAATATGCGTAGTTCACGCTGAAATCACTTTGGAAGTTTTTGTAAGAAGTCTCAATTGCAATGTGCGTATCCTATTACGAAAAAAAACACCTGATTTCTCTTTTCACTCAAATTGTGTACTAGCTCTGAGAGCATAGACAGCGTAGGCGAACTTACGACCTCGTGTTTTGTTATTTCATGAATCTGACTCAAGATCTGAAGCTTGCTTCAAAAGCCCATTTTGCTCACGTGCTTGTTACCGCTAACTCAGGGAATCTAACGATCCGTAACAACAAGTGGGAGGATCGTACATTGCCAAGATGTTACTTTTGTGTGCGTAGGAACCCCTGCAAACAAGGGTAACGTCCTGGCAATGTAAAATTGCTTTATTTGTTGATGCGGTCCGACAGGTCCTCTGCCTCAGCTAAAGCAAATAAATAGTATGGGGGATTCGGCGTCTTCAGTATCATCTGCGGACATGCGCCGAACGCACACCACTTCATAATCGAAGAAGAAATGTGTGCATAACTTGCGCGGGCCAGCCGGTTACCAAGTCAGTGCTTTTATTTTCCCAGATTACTCTGGCACCAATTTACCTGCACCGAAGGGAAAAGGGCTTGGGTGGCCCAGAGGCGGGTTCAAACCTAGGTCCGATCTCGTCACAGCGGCACCTCATACCACTACGCCACTACTCCCCAGCTAAAGCAAGTACATACATAGGCAAAATGGGTTTTTTGATACTCATGCAAACTGCACTTCACAGTTAAATCGAGTTGAAGTGATAAAACACGGTTGTAATGAGTTTGCCACGCTGTCTCAATAATTCTTCCTGCTCCATTAAGGTTAAGCCGCAGTGGCGTTCGCTTGCATCCGTCTAGACAACATAAAGCGTCGCTTCTCTCGCGGCCGTAACTTTTATGCAAGTTTCACATTTTACGTTTTGCACGTCTCCACTCCCTCCATGAACAAGGAAGATGTACTTTTTCGAGGCGAGTTCCCCAGATCACGGAGAGATGGGAGCCAAGAAACAATATACGAGAAAATGCGAAGGAGAAAACCTTACAGAAACGGCTTTCATGGTTTTGCTTTTGTTGTGTGCTATAAATATGAATTGAATCAATAAATTTTGTCCCAATTAAGATCAGGCTGCAACGTCCGAATCGCTGGCACGAAATCGCACTTGCAAGCTAAGAGTTTATACTGCATACGGGTCCGTAAAGTATGGTGCAGAGATGGTAGAAAATGATGGGACAGACAGGCCTTGACTCCACCTACTGCGAGTCGTGGGGTGGGGGAACGAAAGCCGCCAGGTCCAGCCGCCTCCGCGGACTGCTGGTCCTGGAACGACATGCAACAACGCTGCGAAAGGACCAGCTGGCCGCGAAAGGCGGCTGGACCTGGCGGCTTTCGTTCCCCCACCCCGTGACGCAGAACAATGGCGGTGTAAACGCAATTCTGTAACTTTGGCCTGATACGGATTTGGACAGACTGTAAACTAAGTAGATCTAGAAAGGCAGGGCCGGAGCCATTGCAGCCGCAATGTACTCACAATCAGACACAAGGGTGCCAAAATACACGGAAGACGGTCTTTTTGCAATCTCCAGCGTTAATCTGATAACTTGCCTTGGTACTCCTCGACCGGGAAAAGTCTTTCCTGCACTTGTGCGTGCATTGCTGTGCATTGCTTACACTGGGTTCATACTAGTCCGGGAGTTCCGGAAGAGTTCCAGCACAGTTCCCGCACTCTGCCTCGAACTGTGCTGCAGGCGCCGCAGCAGCTCGCATGCGGTTTTAGGTGCGCGAATCAGCAGTTTTCGACTTTCTTGAAAGGTTTTAATTGTATATCCTGCCTAATTTCGTCTCGTTTTTGCACTCGCTTCTTCTCGTGAAGATGACAATGCTTGAATCGAAGAGAGGTTCGAGAATAAAGATTTCCATGTGATTCGCGCGTCAACTCTTTTTATTACGAGCTATCTTCAGGAAAGACCGATATTATCGTTACAATTGCGGAAATCACAAATTTTTTCGTATTTGATGAGATTGGTTTTTGGGCCATTCAGCCCCCTTTCTTTTCACAACTCATACTACTTGTTCCTTCGTTCTTGATTATCGTTCGTTAGTGATAAAAACTCCGAACTTGGAGCAATGTACAAGTATGGAAGCGGTATCTGTTTGTGACAGTTTTCGGTTTGATGTATATAAGGAAATAGCGCTCATTCTTGTACCCCTCTCCAAGCTTGGAACTTTTTATATCGCGAGAGCAAGCAAGGTACAAGAATGAAACAGAATCCAACAAAATGTGCTAAAAAACTGTTGAAAAAGTTAGAAACTGCTACTCCGCTTCGCTCAAAACCGCATGCGGGCGGCTGCAGCGTAAACCGCAAACACTGGAACTGTTAGGCAAAAGCCGCCCCAGGGTGTTTCACCCGCGGTCCTGTGTGGGAAGCCTTACGGTCGTGCGAATCGCCCTACACCAAAAATGTACCTATCAGGTTGTGGATGTAAGTAGAATGTTTTCGCAATTTTTTCATATCTAGCAAGAAGGTTTGAGCGTTGAAATCTATGGAATAGTGTTCCTTGTCTGCAAAGTAAGTCATAGAATGCGGAAGCCTACTGAAAGAGTGGGAGACATGTTATAGTGTCACGTAAGCATCATTTTATGTCAAATATAAACATAAGTCTCTTAGATTGATCTCAAGATTTGAAATGAACTTGGATTATGAAAATCTGCGGACTTATAAGTGTAGAAGTATGACAATTTGCATGGCAACTAGAGCTGCGCGAGGTATGCTTAGGGTCTGGAAAAACATTTTCTTGTATCATTAGTGCACTGGCACCACAGCGTACTTCACAGCAACGGATATTGAGTTGAACAGTTACGGCAAAATTCTCTACTTAAGTTAAAATCTGTTTAGAGCTAGAAATTTACTATAAAGCAATCTTGAGCTTCCAATGCTGTAATTAACCGAGAAATTGACTAAATCCCAACCAAAATGCCTCAATTGAACAAACCCTGGCGGCAAAAAGGAAACCTTTCAATTTGTATTGTCAGTGCATATCCGATCGCCACAATACAGACAATAATTCCTTTTCCTATGCTCTATGCATCTCACGTAATCTTCAACTTCCTTTCTTGTTCGAGGCAGGAAACTTTGTAAAAAGATTACACTCCAACAAGCTCCTTTTGTGTGGAAATAGGAATGAACTATACGTGGTTTTGCACGCATACTTTGGCAGTTAACCGTTAGGCAGAGCTTGCCAACGGAAAGATGTCCTACCTCTAGCTCAACAGATTGATGGCTTTTGGGTCTAAAACTACGTACATGAAAACTCACCTTCATCCTCAATACGATGTTTACACTATACGGTCTTATGCTAGTTTTCATTGCGAATAAAGTATTCTTTTCTACAGTTTCGTTGCTGTAAAGAGAGTGTTCAATAATAGTTATGTATACACCAGTGCGTCACCTCTGCTTCGCAGAGGCTCGCACTGGCCCTATTTTCTGTATGCCTTACTCATTCCCGCATAATAATGACATTGAATCTCACCGCGCTATGTAGGCTATCACGAATAATTCGTAAACAACTACTCATTCGTAGAGGTTTTCCATGTGAGATCGGTATTTTCGCGTGGATAAAATCTTTCCCAGAAGAGCAGATGCAAATTCGAATAGGTTTTTGGAATTTTTATGGCTTGAAAGTCGCCGTAAAAACAATAAACATAGTGGGCTACATCTCTGTGCAAAAATCTCTCAAATGATCAGGTAAAATCTTGAAAAATTGACCGTTTACACAGCGAATGCTTTGGCGCTGTTTTCGTAAAGTAGTAGACTTTTCATTACTTTTTAGGCTAACATCCATGGTTTGCACATTAACTTGTCAAACACATCGGTGGCTTTGCAAAAAGTTGTGCTACAGGCTCAATTTTACTGGCCAAAAGCCAAGTGGATCCGTTTCGCGCGCATTTTTCGAGGGATCCACTCAAGGGATCCGCTCGTGCATTTGTATATTGGACTCTCACGTTGGCAGCATCCGCTGTCCAAAATGTGGGCTTAGAAGGCTGGCTGGAACTCGCTCTACGAATTTCGTGACAGACAGACGTACACACAGACACACAGACAAACAGACGTAAACAACCCTTAGCCCGTTATTATTAAGTCATAGATAGACTATGCCTTTCAGCTTATTAAGGCTCTATAATCAGAAGATATGCATTTTTGATAAGATTCAAACCTTACTTGTGATACTCTTCTTTAGCCGCATTAAGCTTGTTAAAAACCTTCACTACTTAGGTTCAGTATGGCAATGCAGACTCGTGTTAGCTGGTTGGCTCAACTCGACTCAAAAGCTACCGAGACCCCAACAAAATTAAGGTTACCGAGACTTTAGCCTAGAAGGTTTCTAACATCTTGGTTCAGCTGAAGGAGACAATCACATGTTGCAATGAGTTCAATCAGTTTGCTTGAATATGTTCTTCAAGTTGAAACTGAGAACCCTGCGTACTCTGATTGTTCGGCTTTTCTGCTAGTAGGAGTAAGCACAACGAATGACATCAGCGTTGTCTTGGCAAAAGGTAAAGGTACACTACTGATGGTAAAAGCCCTACAAAAAACAAAACAATTTTGAAAGCAACCATTTGCACTTGACTGTTTTGTTTTCTTCTTGAGCTTTAAATGACTGGTAACCAGTTCAACCGTGCGCAGGTCTCAAACGCATGAACGCGTGACTTCCGTAAGTTGTTGCAAAAGCATCAACTCGTTCGGACAAAACGCGCTTACGACCAATCTTAAAAGGGTCATTGCACTGCTAGATCGCGCAGCTACTGGATCGCGTGAGATGCCTTAGGCCTAAGGCTCCCGCCAGAGTGCCGAAGTTATGCCAGCGCTATGCCAGCATTTCGATCGATACACGTGTATTTCGTTGGGGACGTCAGCTAGCCCCGCCCCAACGAAATACACGTGTATCGATCGAAATGCTGGCGTAGCGCTGGCATAACTTCGGCACTCTGGCGGGAGCCTAAGGCATACCTCACGCGATTTCAGTCGCTGCGTGATTCGGCAGAGAAGCGACTGTTTGTAATTGGTCGTTAATGCGCTGCCTTTGGTCAAAACTTCATCCGTTTGCAACAACTTACACAAGCTACCCAAGTAGTTCGAGAAGCGCGCACGATAAATTAGCACAAATCTGACAAGCCGTCAAGTCGCGTGAAAGTGGCGATTCGGCCGAATCGCGCGAGGTATGCCTTAGGCCCCGGGCAGACTTCACGCGATTTGATCGTCGCGACTGAATCGCGACAAGACAACTGTTACAACATCATTCCATGCCGCTCAACTTGCATTCGGTTGTGATACTTTTCCAGCCGGAAATTTTTGAATGTGAAATGAAAATGAGTGGAAATCTTGGCGATTAGATCGCGACGATTAAGTCGCGTGAAGTCTGTCCGGGGTTTTAGGCTTTAAGCAAAGTCTGCGCAATCTCGCCGTCGCGATTCATCGCTACAAGACAAGTGTTACGGGTTCATTGCATGCCGATCTTCATGTAGCTCGGTTGTGATACTTAGTCACGATTAGTCGTGTTGGAAAACTATCGCAATTGAAATACAAAAAGATCCACATGCAATGATTTTGTTACAGCTGTCTTGTAGCGATCAGTCGCGATGATGAAGTCGCATGAACTCTGCCCGAGGCCTTAAGGGCCGGGCATACATCAAGCGATTTCATCGCTTCGCGATTAACCCAACAAGACAGCTGCTACGATTTCACATGCACGTCGTCTTGCATTTCGGTTGTGATACACTTCCGACACGACTAAACGCCACTAACTATCACAACCGAAATGCAGAATAATCGGCATGCAATGAATACGTAACAGTTGTCTTGTTGGGAGAATCGCGAGGCGATGAAATCGCTTACGTATGCCCGGCCTTTTAGGCCTCTGCAAGGTGGGCTTGAGTAAATCAATCTTGAACGATTTTGTTTCAGTTGTGCATTCAGTTTTTCGACTTGACAAACGCCCATAACTCGGCCTTCAGAGGTGCTTGGCAGATGCGGAAGACGGATTCACCGTTCAATGCTCTACAAAGTGATATAGGTGCCATATGGAAAGGCCACTTCGACTGAAGACGCTTTCCTTGTAAGCTAACTCCGATAAATTGTGCGCCTATTGTCAGACAAGCATCGATGCTCCGTGCGTTATTTCACATGCGTGCGCAAATTGAGTGTAAGGCAAAATGAAAATAGCTTGAAAAGAAACGCTTATGGCACCAAATTCAGATTGTAGATCGTATATAGAAAACATGATTTGAAAAGTTTCATGTGAGGAATTTTTGAAATTCATACGACATTTTAAATCTCTCAAATTAGTCCTCTTTTAGGAATCCAACAGGAGACTGAGTATATTTGGAGTAGTCTGTGGTAAACCCCATTCATCTCAACTGATCTGAGATGAATCATTCAGAAGAACTTCCCAGGGTGAACTTATCGTTAGAACCGCCCACCTTGCTGTGCTTTAGGACAGTCAGCTAAACAGTCAGAAGACTGCGCGGCTAAGTGCCACGGTCAGTTCATAGAATGCCACTTAGCCGAGCAGGTCTATGGCGAACAGGGGAAGACAGACAAAATTCTCACAAGTTGCTCGTTAGTAGCTTACGGGATGATCAGTAGACAAAATTCTCACAAGTTGCTCGTTAGTAACCTACAGGATGACTCAGTGGATATATTGTTGCGGTGCAAAACTCCCAAGACTGCACAGTTTCGGGATATAAGGAGAGGATTAATGAACAAGTGATTGCGGCGAGAAAAACGAGGACGTTTCTTCTTTCTTTTCAGGCTTTGCCTACATTAATTAACGATTACTTAGCCTTTCGACCAATTCTGCTCAGGTGCTTCCTTTTTGAAAGCGCACAAAATCTTTAGGCCAAGAAGGCGATCCCGAACAGTAGCTCACTGGGCGGCGGACTGAGGCGCTGTACGTTCTACGCTCTACGCTATTCGTTCTCATTAATTGTGCCTATCCATTAGTAGCTAATCACCGACGTTAACTGCATGCTTCAACTCCCCCCTCCTACTTTTGTCAACAAATTTTGAATTAGGATTTTAATTTGATACAAAATCCTTCGAAGCTCTGAGTAAGTTTTTACTATGAATGCTTGGAAGCATATTGAAAGGGCCAACGCGCACCTATACTGCACCCTCATACGCTTGCAAAGCTTTTGACATCATAGCGCCTGAGAATGCAATTGTCAAAACTATTCACCGTGGCAACTAACGATCACCATACCTAAGTACAGTCCTTTTCAACTCGGAATAAGCGAAACATTCCAAGTGGAGCGGCGTGTCCGCACCGCTATTGGCTCACTGAGATAGAGTAGAATGAAAAGACACAGACTGCAAAACGGGGCGAATCGTTGCGAAGCGGACTCCCGCCAGTTTAGTTTCCTAAACGGAGTTGAAACTTACTATACGTCATATGCGTTAGACTGAATAGCGACTGCCGATTCTTGATGCTGGGACAGACGATCACCAGTAAAGAAAACGCAAAATCTTTGATTCCGTCGTTTGGTGCATATGCTTCTTCAGCAATTAAGCAACATCGGCAAAGCGGCAACAGTGTTACAGGTTTTTGAGGCACCGCAAAACCATTCACATTACGCATGACTTAAACTTCCGACCTCCCCAACACCACACAGACCTCCACCACTGAAGTTGGTTTTATTCTGTCCATAAAGGCTACTGGAGCGTATCACCATGACTGGAAAATAGGGTATGGATCTACCGATCAATAGCTGGACGGATGCTGGATTGAGCGCCACGAGGACAACTCAGGTCCGCCTCAGGGGAGATACCCTGGCGGGGCTTTGCTACGAGCCTATCTCTTTTATATTGTAAACTCTGTAGAAAAATCGGTTGACGACGAACTTCGCACAAATTTGCCGCGATATCAAATAAAGAGCCGTGTACCGTCCTTCATTGTACTTCAGCTGCACTTCGTAACGATTAAATTTCCTATCTTCCTCATCCAAGCTGTAAAACAATCAAAAGTATGCATTCACTTCTTAACAAGTGATTGCTAATTTGAACATACTTATCATCTGTGACAATAAGATCGCCGGTTTGTAGGTCGCTCTTTTTTCTAATAAACATATCCATCAGAGTGGCTTCGTGCTTCTGCAACGAAATTTGGAGAAAACTAAAAACCAACTTTTGGAGCAAATGCTAAGACGTTTTCCAAAGTAAAGGGAAGTTTAGTGCAGTTTCAAAGACCCATAGAAAATTATTTGCAGTCTCGCAGTCGATTAAGCTGTCCACTCGACAATGTAGATATTAAACTTTTTGATTCATTTGCATTGGTTTAAACTGCGCATACTTACTCAGATAATCGCCGGTGGTAGGCGGCCATGCGATTTATGGACAGGCGGGCACCGGAAAAATAGTTCGCTGATTTCTTGCGGTCCGCTTGAGATATTCGTAAGAATTTTGGCGAAATTTATATGCTCGGAGAGTAATTGCAGCTTCTCATAGATTAGTTGCGGCGCAGTGGCCGCGTATTCGCGGACTTTCCGCGAGAATATGCAAAATTGCTGAGAGTAGGATCTTTGTGAAGGATCGCACAGCCCTCGGGTACTTCCCGCTGAGAGAAAGTACCCCAAACCTGGGTAATCAAACCATCGATGACACTTCTGCCACATAGAGTCTCACCTTTGTTCGGAGTACACCCGAAACTGCTCAAAAGGAGTCCGAGCGCCTGCTAAAAGTTTGGCCCGCTCGTTGAAAGAGATTATTTGACTAGCGCTTGCAGAAAATTCTGTATTGCTGCCCACTGGTAGAGCCTGCAAAAGCAAAGGAAGCACCGCATTCTGAAGGTCTGGCCACGCCCCAAAATTTTGCCGACCGGTTGCAGAAAAGCGCGAGTTTGCGGACCGCCTGCCCTTGGCGATTATCTGAGTAGCTTTGACATTTTTCTACTTCTTCTACGAAAGAGCTTCATTCAGACTTGACGATATTCAATTTGTTGACTCCTATATTCGAGACATAATCACCCACTCAACCAAAGGTTAATGGCAGCCTGCTCCAGAACGTGTCGCAAAATTTTTTACATTCACCTACATTGGTTACAGAAACCTGCAAAAAAATTGTTTATAACTACTGAAGGAATCTCCAAATTACTTCAAAGCCTGAACTAGTTGTCGAAAATTCCGAAAAGCATCCCGAAACATTTTTGGAGGTGACGCGGTCCATTATGGAACAATGGAACTAATCTTTCCTAGCTTGAAACATTGAATTAGAAGATTGACATTTTCGAAGAAGGAAAAATTCCTAGGGAAAAGTGCAACTCGGATAGATCATTGTTATTCCTTGGAACAATCATAAGAAGCTTTTATATGAACGTTGCTGTGCCACAGAATATAGGTACATATCGTATCCTCAAGCAAGAGTTATCGCGAACTTCTAGGTCGAGTCGTATAGGAATAGCTGTTCGCCCACATCTCTACTTGGCCACGTCCTTGCAAAAGTAGCATTTCTGCTCAGTTTTTATTTCGAACAGCTTACAACCACCCATCGCTGTTTTTTTAGCTACTAACAGACAAACATTATTTGTTTTAGTTTGAGTTAACCGTTTTGTGACAACGCAATCAAATTGAGACAGCCAAATTAGTTTGAAAAAGTTTTACCTCAAGGTTGATCTTGCCGTTGACATCCGCTAAATCGGGTCTCTCCTCTTCGAGAATGCGAACACTATACCATGGTGGCTGACGACGGCCTTTAACGATTGCACCCGGCATTACCTAGGCGTAGAATAACAAATCTTCATTATGAGAAGAAACAATGTCATGGGGCCCGTCTTTGTACATTTTGTACTAGCTGTTTAGATCTCAACAGCGCAACCGAAAAGAATACATGAATGTAATAGCTGGCTATGTCCACCCCCAAATGCACTTTCTTGAATTTTAAAAAGTTTTGGATTTATCAGACGATGGGGGGATCATAGTTTTGGACATTAGACTTCACCTTGCCTACCTTCAAGTGAATTTGTAAGCCCTGAGTAGAGACATATAGTGCAATAGCGTAATTATCGTTGGGCAAACCGTTTTTTGATTAATTCGAAAATTAATGTCATCCAGGATTACGAAGTTATCTCAGGGATTCGCCCCGTGCGAGCGATCCTCCTGAAAGGAATAGCGTACAAGCGGTCGACATAAGCCTAAAGCTTCCGTGCGTGCAAACAGCTAAAGCGCCGTCCTAGCGGCAGGCAATTGCCGTGCAAACGGCCTGCAATACAACCGCTTAAGCGAGCGGCCAGCAATGCCTCCGTCTTATCGGTCGGCAATAGCCGTGCAATCGGCCAACTGTGACCTCTATCTTCTGCCTCACTATTTTCACACATTGTGAGCATAAACGGTACTTGCCTGAGATACGATGCAGCGCTTAGGCTGACTAACGTTGACATATCGTGTTATCAACATTTTCCTTCACCAGCAAGTTTGGAATGAACTTGTGTGGGGCTACAGTTATCAAGAGCATAGCTGCGATAGGGGGAGTGATGGATCTTACCCCCTTCACTTTGAGGCCAAACTCCCGATGACCCCCTTCACCTAGGCTGAGATTGGTATTGTACTCTGAGAATATGATAAAAATCGTTATTAAAAGGTTTTGCAGGCTAAGTACCTCAAACAACAAGCACACTCATAAATTTACAAAAGAAACGGTGTTTATGTTTAATTATATTATTTATTTATCCTCGTAGCATTCATTTGGAGAGCAGAAAGTGAGAACAAAAAGCAGTTGGTTTTTGGGGTACATAAAATCCTTCATATCTCGCGGCACAGAAGACATCGAAAAAAGTCGACGGTCTACGTCGATTCTCCATGATCTCAGCTTTCGAATGGTATACAGCATGTTAGGGCTTCTTTGCTTCCCGGCATTAAAAATCATTTGCTCCGGTAACCGATAAAAGCCAATACATTGGTGGAGCTGGGTGGAGCAAGCCTAATAGTAAATATCTCCACCCCATTTTTGAAAACTGATTAGTTTTTTCGCCCAGCAACCTATATACCATTCGAAAGCTCAGAAAAAGGGGATCCGTCGACTTCTTTCTAGCCCCCCTCTACCGAGAGATACACCGCATTTTATCTGAAAACATGGTCATTTTCAACAGCAGATTTCTGCCAAACGAAGACCTAATCACTGCTGGTTATCTATCTGTGTTAAAGGGCAATTCTTCATTAACAAACGTAGACCGTCGACTTTCTCGTAGCATTCGTTTGGAGAGCAGAAAGTGAGGACACAAAATCAGCTGATTTTTGAAGCACATAAAATCCCTCATATCTCGCGGCACAGAAGACGTCGAAAAAAGTTGACGTCTACGTCGATTCTCCATGATCTCAGCTTTCGAATGGTATACAGCATGTTAGGGCTTCTTTGCTTCCCGGCTCTAAAAATCATTTGCTCCGGTGACCCATAAAAGCCAACACATTGTATAAGTCGTCCCTAAAGTTTTTGCGCACGATTTTCAAAAATTCATAATTTCTGACTTTTCCAACCGATTTGGATACTTTCACCTTTATGTGAAAGGGTAAGTCATGCACTTTCTGACTACATCTCAGCTGCTTAGTAATGGTCATCTGTTGCATAGATAGGAGCGATAGAAGAAAATTGGTCAAATATGAATTTTCTGTGTAGGGGCATGGAAAATCGGAGACTTGCAGCAAAAATCGGAGCACTCAGTATTGTAGGTTCTTTCGACTGCTCTTTCTAACAGTGCAAAGTTTGCGCTGATTGAGGGTCTCCATGAAAAGTTATGATTTTCGAGCAAGCAATACAAAAGGGCGAATTTGGTTTATTTTGGCATTTTTCAGGGAAATCATAACTTTCGATAGAAATGCTCGATCGGCGCAAACTTGGCACTGTTGAAAAGAGCTGGTGAAAGAACCTACAATACTGACTGCTCCGATTTTTGTTGCAAGTCTCCGATTTTTTATGACCCTACACAGAAAATTCAAATTTTGACCGATTTTCTTCTATCGCTCCTATCTATGCAACAGATGACCATTACTAAGCAGCTGAGATGTAGTCATAAAGTGCATGACTTACCCTTTCACATAAAGGTGAAAGTATCCAAATCGGTTGGAAAAATCAGAAATTATGAATTTTTGAAAATCGTGCGCAAAAACTTTCGGGACGACCTAATAAGAGCGAGGTGGAGCAAGTTAACAGTAAAAAATGTGCGGTGGATTGACATCGTTATCAGCACTAACGGGAACGCGAGCGAACGCGTCTATTTAAGCGTGCTTATCGTTGTTATATGTTCATGCTTTTTTTTGGTAAAAAATGCGCTTTTGACGGACAGTTATGCCATCATTATTAGCACACACTCAAAAAACTATGGGAGATTGGTGAATTTCCACACCTTCACAAATCTATACTCTGTAAACCTAGTGCTGAAGAAGGTCACTTTCGTGAAAACGCTCTAGACTCACCTTACCTAATTTGTAGAGAATGGTTGTTGCAACGAATCAGAAAATTCAGAAGAATAACATGTTATAAACATATCCCTCAATGTCTTGGAAAGGTTGGCAGTTTGAAGAGGAAACGGCAGGCAGAATACTTTACAAAATCGCAGATGACTCGCATGTGTTCCAGTTCCACAGCGAGGCAGAAGGAGAATTTTACGCCGACGAAAATGTTATCGACATTGATACAGAGTTGACAATTGAGCGAAACTTTCTGATTTCCTATATAAGGAATCCAAGCAGATTGCCTTCAATGAGGAAATGTCCAGGAATTCCATTGCTGATCTTCAGGTTGCTGAAGATTCAAAGGCTGCTAAATTCACAAACATGGATATGAAAAAAGGAAGGTGTTAGTACAAAGCATAGCTGCTGCTCTTAGATTCCGACTGGAGTGCGAACAGAACTTTGTGCTTTATGCTTTTGGAAGTTATTCGCCTTGTGACATTATGACCTATGATATTGAAAAAAAAAACAACGCGCAGCATAGTATCTACTTTTTTCGGCTATTCCGCAGATGCTATCAAAGAAGAAGTTGAGCAGCTTTCTCATCAGCTAACAGGACGTATGCCAGAGGAGGTGAAGCCAGAGTTCGACAAGGCCCCAAAAAGTATGCATTCCTTCCCGTGTTGCGAAAGCATATGCGATCTGGCTCTTTTCCCATTACTTACCGCAAAAATCTGATGGGCTTACTGGCAAAGCGACCATTCCGACTAGCACGGCAGAGGTGGAGAAAGAAATTTTCTATCTACTGTGTTATCAGAACACAACGCAGAAGTCGTACAACGATGGAGCATCTAAGCAATCACTTAAGGTTTGTCAACCTTCCACTAAACATATTGTTATCTAAATACTTCATTTAAAAGATTGGTATAAGTGGTCCAGACAGGCTGTTACCGTATGACTTTTTGAAATATCCTAAAAGATGGTATGAAGAAACTGGTCACCTACCTGCGGACTTTCCTGGTGCTACCAGAGGGCCAGGAAAAAAAATCACAAAAGCGCTTAAGAGAAGAAGAAAGTTTAAATCCATTTTCGACTCAGAACGCTTTTGCACGCAATTCTACTTCTACTCCGATGACCTTTTTGGAGGAAGAAGAAGATTTTTCAGGCAGCGAACTTGTTGTCTCTGACGTTAGTGATAGTGAAATTGTTGATGATGATGTGCAGGAATTGAAGTTGTTCCTAACTTGTACATCTTTTGGGATAAATCTTATTGCTTTCGTTTTTTGTTGATGCAATGAAACAGGAGCACAGATCTTCATAAAGTCAATTTTTTAAATTTTTAATTTCTTTCAAAATTTTTTAATTTTTTTTCAATCTGTGTCTAAATAAGGTACAAATTAGAGCTCTTCATACCACGCTTCTTTACCTTTTCTCTCTTCCCCCCCCCCTAGACTCACATACCCCCTTCACCTTGGAAGGTCGGAAACGGCCGAGACCCCCTTCACCTGGGGAGATCCCGGCTCCCCCTATCGCACCTATGATCAAGAGTGATGTTGTGGGCTTCCCCATGAGAAGTCTGACCAATGTTGCAGGCATCGTCCGTGTTCCCAGAATGTGAAAAGGATTAACATGTCCAAGAAAAATGGGTACTTCTCCGTTATCCGGACCCATTTTTTCAAAGAAGCATATTGCTTCATTCCTCGTACCATATTTGGTCCCGACTTTACAGGAAAGAGTGTCAACCTTCTGCCACGTGTCAAAAAAATTTGACATGTCTTTTACATGTTTAACAGGTTTAACCAAGAGTTTGAGTTGCCCTACTTGGCGACGTAAGTTCAATCTTTTTATTAGTCAATAGTGACCCCATTTTTGATTAAACTGTCAAAAATGAGCATTCTTATAATAATGACGTCATTCTGTTACTAATTAAACAGATTAGACTTGCCAAGAGTAGAGAAGTGGACTAGGATCCCATCATCTAAATGACAAAATAAGCAATAGCAAGGAACTTTAAGCCATCATTTATAGTCTCGTCTGGCTAAATTCGCAAGACGAAAAGTTTGAAGAAAAAGACAATGCTGAATCGTTGCTGAAAGCGATCAAGATGTTCTGATATAAATTTCAGATTGTTTTGCTCTCAGACAAACCAATTAAACAGCTTTTAGGTGATCACAAATGCTCTTTTACCTCACAGGAAGTGATTTCGAAAAAAAACATGTCAAAATGGGCCAAAACGTGTTAATATTTTTCTGACACGTGGCAGAAAGGCAGTCCTCGTGGAATCCATAAAAAATTTTTCTTAGACTGAAGAACTATTTTATGAGAGCTTT